GTGCATTATAAACAGTTATTTGAGCTGGAAAACGAATAGACCAACAATTGGAACAGTTATTCGAGAAGCTGTTCAACCAGTTCTTACAAGACTTTTATTCACTTGACGTTTCGCAGTCCGTCGCAGATTCTTCATCAGAGACATTAGCATAAACCGGTTCGATTTCTTGGTTTCTTGGACATATATTGCCGGTTGATGACTAACAAGGAGCTGATTCCATCAAATACTAGCTCAGCTCTAAAAAACGAGTGAGCTCTCTAAATAAATTAAAAATCAGAATCTGTCTACTTCAACATAATTATTATAGCTCAGCTTTTTAATTTCTTCTGAAATTAATCTTTGAATCAGTATATTTAAGGTCTATAAGCACAGACTGAAATTGCATAGAAATATTTGGACCGAAATCCATCAGTCACTGTGGGATAACTGCGTAATATTCACAATCTACCAAAAGGCAGATAGTAGTAAAACTAATGTAATAATTGACCATACTGACAGCTCAGGTACGACCTATGCAGCATGAAAGAACGTACTTTAAAGTATGCAAACGATTTTCAGGCCCTTCAGTATTGAATATATTGACTGCAGTTTAGACTTATATGTATATACTATATGTGTAGTATTCAGAGCATAAAAGTCCTAAGAAATCACAGACAGGAGCAGTTATATGTTTGTTCATTTAAAGAAGAGGAACTTGGATTATGCCGAACTGCAGGACGTTTTGGTAGGAATTCTAAATGATCCGTTGATATCCCCAAACCATAAGCGCTTAGGAGCTTTTAACAAACTATCATCAGAGACTTATCCAACACCAATTCTGAAACTCTCTGTGCCTAAAGGTTCGGATGGAAAAACTATTTATGTATTCTTTAATGCATAAATGGTATAAGTCCCTCTCTAACCTCTTTCCGAGTAGACTGACTTTTGCGGTTATATTTCCAGCCCAAAGTGAACCTTGAAGTTAAAGCTAGCCGCCAGCAACCTTGTAGCACGCACCCTCAACGCTAGTGCTGGGGTCACCTCCAGCTAGGTGTACACATTGACATCCTCGTTTATTTTCCCGAACATAATTTGTATTCGAAAATACTAGCGTCAGTGCAGAGCACCGCCTCAGCATTGTGTCACTCCAGACAACATGCATCAATGATTTGACTAATAAGACCCTCATTACGGATAAGGTCAACATAGGCCTTCTAGACGGAATGCTTGCCCTCTGCAGTACTGGCTAAAATAGGATTTTGTGGGTAGTTGAGGAGATCGGAGGAGAAATAGGCGAATCTAACGGCTGGGTACCAATTCTCGTGTTGTAATTGCGTGGAATAGATATTCATGCGCCCACATTATTTAAAAGCTACACAATTTTGGGCCTCGTGAATAAACCCCGTTAGAACAAGACTAAAAAGGTCCCTGTATTAATCACCCCATTCAAGCAACGTTCGTTCGCCATAAGGAGCGTAATATAAGATGGAGCAGGACTGCATAGATGCGATGAAACATTTAAATTTACCGTTTTCTTTTGGTACAAAAGCCATTGATCTTTTATGTTCAATACTTAATGTTTATTGTGCATGGCTCTACTAAACATTAGGCTAAAGCTATACAGAAACATTAGCATCACTCTAGAGAACGTGCTCACCTTGCATGCTTATGCGGAGCAAGAGACAGCTTGATAAACCCTATTTACATCAGAAGGAAAACGGCACTTGAGGGCAAAATGTAAAATAGGCGGATAATTTAACTCGAACTCTCTTGAAACCTGCAGACGTTTTCGAGTAAGTATAACAATCTGTTTGTTTGGCAGATGTTTTGGCTAGAAACAATTTTCTTTACTTTCCGCGATTGTTTTTTTTTCTTATATGGCCAACTAATTATCATCTGAACGGATAGCGCATTAGTCCGGTTCCATGGGACATAGCAAGACCTTTTTAAGGAAGACGAAATGCAACCACAAGGACAGTAATTGCATTTGTCTGAGCTTTCTGTTTCACACACGAGGTCATCATCAGGGAAAACGAGGAAACAGCAAGTATTGGCGTGTTTTTGCAGTCCAGCTACGAGTAAATGGCGGTTGGGAGAGGGGATAGCATTCGTGATTGGTGATGGTGCCTTCGTATTCTTCACAAAAAGAACCTGGGGCGCGCATATTTGCTTCTATTCATGAGGTATTTTTAAGTTGCTATCTTAGAAGCAGTTCTTTAGGCAATTTACCTTTCAAAAGGTTCCCCTATCACTTCAAAAATGAAATGAATTTTTGAAGTCAACGTTACTATAACATCAACAAGCCATGCCATCAACAAGCATGATTGTAAATGGTGTTGGGACTTACCGGACAAATGAATCGCGTTTTAGCTTCGTCTTTAAAGAGTACAACCTGCAAGTGTACGAAATACTGCCTGTTCTGTCCACAGTATTGTTGTAGTAGTCTACTGCATGCAAGCTGAGCAGGAGCCGCCGCCAAGAGGCCCTCAAGTCCACGAGTTGTGGCAACTGATCCGGCGAAGAGCCTGGACTGTGTGGTGGGAGCTGTTCCCAGTAGGGGAAACTGGCCGGGTGAAACAAGGGGAAGTGTAGGCAGTGAGCCTAGGTCAGGTCGAAAGACTGGCAGTTGGGAGGGTAGTGCAGATGCTTGACTGAGTGGACGTAAAAGGTCATTTAGGAGACCACCGGTATTCAGAAGCCGTAAGGCCTCAGAAGGCACGTCTCTGTTGACGGCTTGTACGGAAGGACATGGCGAAGGTAAAAAGGCTTGCAATGGGTTTGTCGGGTTTAATCCCAAGGGGTTGGCAATAGGAGATATGGACAGATTGACTGACTGACTGGGCTGTGGAATTCTTGGAGCCTGATTGAACAACGGAACGTTCAGGGGCAATGCACTATACTGATTTTGAAAGAGCCGCAATAGACTGAAATCCATTGCAGGTAAGGTTGTTGCAGTGAGAACCTTCAGCATCGGTATATTGAGGCCAACAGAAGCATTAAGGGTATAACTGTTTAGGTCGATGTGTGGAGAACTGCAGATCACGGGGGAATTAACAGCCGACAGAAGGAGAAAAAGGGACTGAGGCTTCGAAAAGGTTTGCTGCAAGAGCGGCCATGCATTTGTTTCGTTCATGTCTGAACTTATGCGCCCAAGGGCTTCTCCCATCGGGAGTGAGGAGCAAAGTATAAACTTGAGGAGATTGGATGTAATCAAACCGCCATCACCGCTACTGGTTTGAGTAACCCGTTCCTGTGCCGGAAATCTGGAGGCCAAAATGTCCAGGTCTGTCGTGCTTGACTGAAGTCGAGTCAGTTTGGCTTCCGGCCAACGATCTGCCATATGAGAGGTGCAAGAAGCTTGGGCTCGTAATAGTCTGTTGGCTAAATCCAATGAAAGCTGCATGAAACGTGGATTCCAGTGTGTATCACGCATGCTGTTGGAAAAGAATAGAGTGTATTTTGTAGAATCGTGTCTAAAAAAACGTGGACTCTGTATCCCTGGAACCCAGTAAGCGCTTTTTTCTTCCTAGTTTATGGCCTCAAATATTTCTAAGTGGAATATTTTGAACTGTGTAAGATTCCTACAGCCCCTCATTTTTACGTATCGACTTCGTTAATGTTGCTTACTTTTGTGCCCCACAACAGGCCCTTAATAATGATGCTGTTGTCTTCTACAGGATACCTCATTGGCGTGCTATTATCAGAAAAGCGAACATGCAGAAGCACTGCAAAAATGCTTCAAATGGACAATAAATGGTAAAGGAGGGATTTTCAGGATTCTGTTTCAGTGCGGCAGGGTATGGATTGCTTTCCATCATCTATTTTATGACAATCCAGGAAAACGTTTTTGAGAGGCAATATCGGATGCATATATTTTTTTATTTCACGTTTAAAGATACATAGAAGCTGGCTGTGAGAGGAAAAGGTAAACTGTCCCTAGTAGCCATCCACGCGTCTTCACCAGGGGCCAGTTTTGATTTTGAGTGCGTGAGAATCTCTGGCCAGTCACAGGGCAAAATTTGGACCTACCGCAGGCACCGTATTACTTAATAGCGGACTCGATCCATAAGAAAATAGATTTCTCAGGCGTTTATCAGGCGCTACACGATCACATCAATGGTGTAGGTAAAAGTTATTCTCGAGGGAGGTGAGCTGAAGCTATATTGAGTTTTACAATTCCCGTAGCCCTTTGCGATTGGCTTGCATGAGATTTCGAAACTTCGGATAAATCTCCGATGTCGGAGATCGCCTTTCCGCTTCACGCGTTTTATACCATTCGAAACAAACTTTAACATTTCCTTCACGAAACAGTGTGAGGCTGCTGACAGATCTTATTAGAACACAAGTGAGATATGTTTAACGTTAGAAGTCAAAAGCTATCTATTGTCAAATATCAAGACTAAAAAATGCTATATGTACATATAAATTTTGAAGTACTGACATAAATAAAAATCTCCTACGGCAGAAAAGTTTAAGGATGTCACAAGTGCTTTTTATAAGTGAAATAATAACGACATGCTGACTAGATATTTGCCCCCTTTACTCCTCTTAGAAAATAATGCACTAAATAACAACTAGTAATTTGGATTGAAACTTTATAGGCTCACTAGAAAAGTTGATGTGAATAGTTAACCACAGCGAGCGAAAAGGATCTGCTCGATCGACAATATCGAAGATGAGCTTAAGATTGTAGAAAGTTCTGCTCACCAGAATGGGTGTCCAAATCGATTCATTGCCATGAACAGAGCCGAAAGACTACCAAGGCCCAGGGACTAACGGCAGAGAAGAAACTACATTTCATCAGTCCTATTATAAGGGGACGCCGCAAACGAACTTTTAAGAAGGTGCCTAGGTTAAGTTGTATGAACACCTTTCCAGCAGCTAATGCCCTCGTACTGTTCT